TGCCATGCTCCCCACAATGCAGTTCGGCGAAGATTACAAATCTTCTACGTGACCCCATTGAAGTGAATGGGCGAAGCGTTGAAAGCATTTTTTGATGCCTGTAGTGTAGACGGGCCGTAAGCCTCAGCTTTCCTCGTGTTGAATGCTAATAATGTTACAGAATGATGTATTCTAAAACTGTATGATAAATACAGTCTAACCTATCTACTGTCATCTAAAAAAAAAAAACGTGTGTTATATGTGTTTGTGTGTGTGTGTGTGTGTGTGTGTGTGTGTGTGTGTGTGTGTGTGTTGTGTTGTGTCGTGTGTGTCGTGTGTGTGTGTGTGTGTGTGTGTGTTGTTGTGTGTGTGTGTGTGTGTGTGTGTGTGTGTGTGTGTGTGTGGCCTAGCATTACTATACTTGTGGGGACCCAAATGTGTTTACACAGTCACGTGTGGGGACTCGCCTCCCTTATGGGGACAAAATGGAGGTCCCCATGAGGGGAATCATTAATTTTAGGGCGAAGACTTGGTTAGGGTTAGGGTTAGGCATGTGTTGGTTATGGTTAAGGTTAGGATAAGTCACCAGGAAATGCATGTAAGTAAATGTAATGTCCCCTGAAGTGATGTATACATGGTATGTGTGTGTGTGTGTGTGTGTGTGTGTGTGTGTGTGTGTGTGTGTGTGTGTGTGTGTGTGTGTGTGTGCGCACGTGTGTTTATCCTTGAAAAAATGCAAGTTCAGTGGTAACAGCTGGTTTACCTTAAGCTCAGCAGTTTGGAATTGACTACCAATAGATGGAAATCCTAACAAGCAAAGTAAAACAAATGTGTGATTGTTTACGTGTGAGCATTTGTGTGTGTGTGAGCATTTGTGTGTGTGTGAGCATTTGTTGAAGCAAATGAGTGTAATCTCGGCATTTTCTCTGAATATAGATCACCAAGCTAAACAGGGACAACAGTGGTTTTATTCCACCTCATACATCGCAACACAATCTCAATTACCCGCACTAGTGGGCATAATATGAATGGAGAATTTATGCAAACATTTTTAATGCACTGTTACCAATACTATTACGACCTCCTCTGTTTGAACAGAAAGTGTGTATGTGCGTGCATATGTTTATTTGAGTGACTAGAGTTAAAAGTTTGTGGGAAATGCTTCTATTTTTGCATTAAGGTTGAATAACAATTATAATTGCTGTGAGGGGAAGATGTTTTTGTAACATATCTTGTCTCTCTTGATGCGCAGCTGTGCAGACCACTGAATCTTCTGAGGAGAAATTCAATGTCAAAACAAAACAAAAGACAATAAGATTTATACAACAGAGCAAACAAGACCCAGAAGAAATGAGGGGAAAGTACTGAGAGAAAAGCCCATCTTCTGAGTCTGAGTAATCCTTCTGGTTCTCTGAAGAACACCATAGAAACTAGGGTGAACAGTTTGCTTAAATATGACTTATTTTGCTCATTTTTAGGTTCTTATATGTATTTTGTGTCTTTAATGTGACATGTTTTCATGTTTTAATGTTCAAAAAGCTCTTTATTGTTCTCATACTGTCTGTGCTGCAGCACCTCTGTTCACCCTCTGTCTGAAACCAGAGCCCAGTCTGCTCTGATTGGTTAGCTGGCCAGCACTGTTGTGATTGGTCAACCATTTACAGATGCCCCACCTCCAGCCTATCAAGTATAATGTGTTGGTAGCCAATAGAAGCGCAGGGGTTACATTGTGATGTCACTTTGTTCCAGAAGTAAACAAAGGAGTCCAATGGAGGCGTTTCAGGCAGGGAACACAGGGATTTTAGCATTTGCAGACCGTTTCCATGCACACAAACATACATAACACAATAGATAGGGCCTCTTTAAACCATTTCTCTGAAGATTAGCCAATACAAGAAGAAGGGGTTAGGATGTGGGGTAAATGGTACAGTTTCAGGCCGCCCCTTCAATAATGAGGGTTAGGTTTGACCCTAACCCCCCAACATGTGGTGTATGCGCTGCCACCCCCGCCCGCATTCTGTCTCTTGTCTCACTCTGGCACCATTTAGTCAAGAGATGGCACTAGCACCTCACCTCCATGCCATGGCCTTCTAGTTTTACAGCCTGAGGGAAAGTAGGGGAAACAAAAGAGAAGGAAAGGAGAAGCAACATGATGGAGAAACTGACACATGGAACACAGAGAGAAGGTGTAAGGGGGAGGAAGGAAGCGAGAAAGATTGCGAGAGAGACAAAGAAACCAGTTCGTTGTTGCATAACAGCCTGATTTAACAGGTAGTATAATTGATTTAGAAGAGCAGACCGAGCTAAAACTGGACCCATTGCTCAGGCGGGGGGTAGGAACTAATCTTCCACTGCCGGTGGGGAGAAGAGGATCATTTTACTCTGCCGCACCCCCTGGACTCCTTCCTAAAAATCTGAAGTGACTCAAACTCCTCATCTACAATATAGCCAGAGCGGTGGAGCGAGGAGGCGCATTCCTGCTGGGCATAAGTGCCGTCAAGATCACTTAGTGTGTGCTGCGGCTCGGGGACAGTAAGTGGAGGCGGAGCGAAGGAGGTGTAGAAGATGCTCGTTCTGGCAGATGGAGTCCCTTGATTGTTACTCTCTGTCCGATGTCTTCCCAGTTCGCTTCACATATTGGAAAGACTTCTACAATAACATGCACACATAGCAAAGTGTTCCATTGCGTCACCTTACCTTACATGTTTCCTCAATTAGTTATTTTGTCCTAACAATCCTATGGAAGGCACACATCTTTGTATAATTTCTTCTGTGCTCTTTGTAGTCAGCAATATTTACATTCGACCGAAAAAAAAAGTTTTGCACGAATGAGTCCTGAAAACCCGGAAAATAGTCAACATTCCTTGATTTTCACGTAAATGTCCGATGCGTTTATGGGTAAAAAAACAAACAAATGACTAATTAAGACAATTTAACGTCATCACTGCGTACACAAGTCAGTTCTTGGCATAGCGGTGGTGACTCACAGCCATGTGTTTGTCACAAACATTTCTGCAATTTTTTTGCGGGACGGGTGGCACAGTGGTCTGTGCGTTTGATCATCAGATCAAGGGGGTGTTGGGGAACTCCAGTTCGAAACCCGCTCCCGCCCCACTGCTTCAGGCCGTCCGTTGTGTCCTTGGGCAAGACACTTCACCCGAATTTGCTCCTGTGGGTATTGTCCACAGTACATGTATAATATCAATGTGTACTTGTAAAAGCGCCTCGATGACTTTGAGGTGTGAAGATGGGCGGTGTGGCGCAGTGCATTGATCAAGGGGGTGAAACCCGCCGCCGCTGCGTCTGTAAAGCCGTTGTGTCCTTGGGCAAGACACTTCACCTGAACTTGCTCCTGTGGGTATTGTCCATAGTAGATGACCATTACATGTATGTATAATCTGTATATGTAATGTGTATTTCTAAAGCGCTTTGAGTCATTGATAAAGTGCTATAATAAATATAAGGATTATTATTATTATTATTAATTTTGAAATCCAATTGAAAGAATACTCTTCGTTGAGGGAACCCTAGCAATGTTTATTTCTGGGTCAGCCTAGATGGGTATGTCATGCCTGCAACACTCCAGTGATATCTCTTAGGTTCAATTTGTACTTGCAGATATTGGCTTCTTGTCAGTCTTCTCTTCTCTGTATGTCCAACCTGTACATCTGATTTTTCTTTTCTTAAACACTTTGGTTTCTCTTGGTCCTGGTACTTGATTTCCCTGTGTTTGCCTTTCCAAGTTACTCTTTGGGGGGTGTTTCTCCTGACGCTGAGCCTTGACCCAGGACTGTGTCCATGAGCTTCCCACCTGCAGTGCATTTCTCTCAGTTGTCAGCTTGAGCCTGTTGTCTTAGCTCTTCACCCCAAGCCTGTTACTCTCAGTTCAATGCTCGGGATAACAACTCTCTCCGACCAAGAGGTTTTTCCCCTGACCTGTCCTTGACTGTCTTTACCCTCAGCTCCTGTAGTTCTTCCGAGCATCCTCTTTTTCTTAAAGTGGACCTATCATGCTATATTTGAAAAATATATTGTAGGGCCATACCTATATAAAACATGTCTGTCAAGATTTTTTTCAAAATACCAAACAGATCACCCATTGTAGCCATCCCTCATACTGCTCAAACCCCTCTTTTGAAGCCATGTTAGAGAAACNAGAAGACCTCCTAGGAACTAAAGCACTTGAAGCTTTGAAACTATTCATGGAAAATGTAGTCTATTTGTAGACATGTCACCAATAGGTTTCCATGACACCTTACAGTTGGACAATAGCTTGCAGAAGACAGACCTCGAGTGAGGATAGGTTTTGGAAGAGTTACAGAGTTGTTTTAAACTCTAATGCAGGGTTGCCAACTCTCACGCATCTGGCGTGTGACACACGCTTTCACCCTCAATCTCACGCTCTCACGCTGCCCAAGCTATTCTCTCGCCAAAAACAAGATGAACCGGCGATCGTTTTTGGTTGGTTATTTACAATGTTGAGTTGACAGCTGCTCAAGGTGTCGATCCGCCCCCACCACTCTTAACAACGTTAACAGACAGCAGAGCAGTGGGAGCCGGTTGGTTAATCCCCGACCCGTATTGCGCATGCGCAGATCTAAGATCCAGTAGAAATGGTAAGAAAGTAAAAGTCTGCTGCTTATTGTTCTACTAGGCCAACAGAGTCAAAGAGTGTATGAGAGTGAGAGTGTGTTAATTCATATATTTGGCGGTTTGGAGTAAGTCTATAGATTTGTTTGTGTCTGTGTGTTTCATGTACAGGCCTCTCACGATAATTAACTTTGTTGGATACATTTTTCCGGAAATTATTGCGATAAATGATAATATTGTCGGCACCGTTGTCTGACCATTTTAGACCACTGACATCATGAAAATATATAATAATAATTAAAGTACGTCCTTTCAAACTGCTAGTCACATCCTCATGTAAATGGAAATTTATCGAGGTCAGAAAAGTTATCGAGTTCATTTTTATTTATCGTACGATAAGTCAATTAATTGCTTATCGCGACAGGCACACAATAAAACAGTGGAAACAAACATGTGTTTGACTTTCATTAGTGAATAAAACTGTGTGCCCTTTATTCTGTGTCCAAATATTGTGTATTTGNTCAAAAATCTTGTCTTGAAAGAGTCTTTCAAGACATCCGTTGTTGTTTAGTTTTACTTTACACGACACTGTTCAACACTTCATTCTGCTTCACTCTTTAACTAAACAACAACGGATGTCTTGAAAGACTCTTTCAAGACAAGATTTTTGAAGACATCCGCGTTCTTGTGACACGTAAATACTACGCTTCCTATGTTTTGGTGCGGACTGCGTTCACACCAGCAATGAACCGCTCCAGAGTTCGCAAGCAAGCGTTCCGAGACCACCTATTTTAGCGGACCAGAGTCCGGTTGTTTAGTTCACTCAAGAGGTCTCACACCGACCCAAATGAACCGCACCAAGCGGCTAAACGCACCAGGGTTCGATTCAACCGGACTACACAAGGCTGGTGTGAATGCACCCTAAAACAACTCTGTAACTCTTCCAAAACCTATCCTCCCTTCATTGACTTGTGCCCTTTTTTGTCTGCTTTTGAGGTCTGTCTTCTGCAAGCTATTGTCCAACTGTAAGGTGTCATGGAAACCTATTGGTGACATGTCTACAAATAGACTACATTTTCCATGAATAGTTTCAAAGCTTCAAGTGCTTTAGTTCCTAGGAGGTCTTCTAATCGGGTTCTTTACACAAACAACATGATCGGGACACAATTTGGTAAAAGGGGGACATGAGTGAGACAAATAAAGTGGCATCTGTGCTTGTGATGCTAGTAATGACAGTTTAATGAGTGTGATAATGATAATCTAATTTGACAACACATTCATTTGTGACTGCAGGGACATGTTTACTACTTTCTCCTCTCTTCGGCTCCCTCTCCACGTTGAGGCATTTGAAACTGCTGTTCCACACATTTGCATCTAAACCCCATTTTGTTGTCTCTCTCATAACTTCTCCTTCTATAAAGGACCCGACTTGACTTCGCTTCATCAGGTTTACTTTTCTGCATTTACAACCAATCTGTTCTTCTTCCTGGTTTGATTCATTCCCCTCTTACCAATGTACCTTGGTACCTATCTCGTTCTATTGGCAAATAAACCCTGCGAACCTACTTGATTTCTTTTCCTCACTTCGCTTCCTTTTCCTCTGTTCTAACTCCACTCCCTTCTTCACAAACTTCACAAAGTCATTCCGCTCTCTCCCATTTTCTCATTGCCCGCTAAACACTTGAAAGTTCAATTTCTGTGTCAATTTTTTTTACAAATAGTGCTTTTAGTACACTCTGTGTCTGGAAAATAACAAGCGTTCGGAATCTAGGAGGTGTTTTAACACCATTTACTCAGGTGGCAGCTCAATTGTCCCCAAAGTTTAGGTTTAGGAACACCTACTCTTTGAAAGGCCATGTTTTCACCGCTTTCCTTTTCCTTTTTGCCCTGAGCTTAAACACTCCACTTCCAGACCTTAACTCCAGCAAAACCAACTCGTTTTTTTTCTTCAGCAATATTTTCTGTAACGTGTTTACTTTTTCTTCTTCTGCTCTTGCTGTTTGCTTCTGCTCTCGTGTTTTCCCAATGTAACAATGTTATTTTTTTACTCTTCTATTCATCTTTCTTCCTTTTGTCACTTAATGCTCAAAAAAAATGTTTCAGGGCCTGCCATCCCACTCACATTCTCTCATTCATCCCCACTGTGTGTTTTTGCTCCAATCCTCAATCATGCAATGATGGCCTAAAGGCAGAGGATTATTGTGAAATAAAGGTCATTGCTACATCATTACAAAATCACAAAAGTCATCAGTCTCACAGTACTTCAGTTTATCGATAGAAAAAGCATCAAAACGATAATTTGGGAATGGGAACCACGGTGCATTCTGGGATGTCCTGGCCATCTATGGAGGATTGAATCTATATTAATGGCAGAAATCCTTGAGATCTATAATATTTTTTTGGTCATTTTTCGGCTTTTTTGGATTCAAACAAATAAAGTACAGAATATATATGATTGCCCTTAACAACAGAAGCTCTCGGCTGAAACAGAGGAGCATTGTTTTAGAAAAAGAAGAAGAAGATTGGACCTTTATTAATTTAGTTTCCACTCTGTCATACACTTTTTTTAACACATTTTTTTTTACACATTTTAGTAAATAAATGACAGTTATCCTTATGAATTAAGAGTAGGAACCTTGGATCAGTGTTACTAATGCTAGCACATCTCTGGTGTTTGGTGTGTCAACACATTTAAAACATGTTAAATATTTAGAGGTGTCACTCCCTTGTTTCCATGTTGCTATACAATGTAATCCAATTCTCCTATTTTTGAAAGTGATATTACTTGAAACAAGTTGTGAAGAAATGACGTTACATTTGGCTCACCGCACAGGTTTAGTCAATGGGTTGTGGTTGCTTGTTTCCTCAAAAGATGGCTGACTTGCTGTTGATAATATCACGTTCCCATTCCCTGTTGGTGTAAAGTTTCCTTCTGATCACACCAGTCAAACATTGAGTGCTTTTCTACAGTAGTGTGTAAACCTCTCCTGTCCTTTCTTTGTTTTTCACCTCTCGGCTTCATCCATACCATCCTCATTGGGACATTGATCGATGTGCCGCTCTAGCAGACTGTGACAAGGTTAGGAACTTTGGCCTCTGGAGGGGTGTGTGTGAGTGTGTGTGTGTGTGTGTGTGTGTGTGTGTGTGTGTGTGTGTGTGTGTGTGTGTGTGTGTGTGTGTGTGTGTGTGTGTGTGTGTGTGTGATAAACTCAACTGTTCATTGCGTTGATTTGCACTAAATTGTGTGTGTGTAGGATGTACAGGAATTAATTAATCTGATGTCAACTTGAGGAACACATGAGGCATGTCATTCTGAAGTGTCTCATGTTATTTTGTCTGAGTTTATTCTTGTTTTCAGCCCTTGTGTGTGTGCGCAGGAGTGTGTGTGTTTGAAGGCGGTTTGTAACTGTCAAAATAATGATTCCACTACTCAGCTTCTTGCTGCTGTGGCAGTGAACTGAGTCGATATCTATGACAAATCCAGAGTCCAGTCGTGTCTCACAGTGTGCGCGCACACACACTCACACATATACTCAGTCATACTTCTGCTCTCTCTGCTTGAACCAGACATATTGATCGCTCTGCTATGGAAACCCCTGTTAGGAGTTTGTCATGGTTCTCAGCTTATTGCTTCCACCCGACAGCTCAGCACTCTGTTTAGCTGTTGTTTCTTCGGGCAAAGTTGAACGTACATATTTACAAAGACACAAGTTCACATACACACACACTCACATGATCCATTTGTTCTGCATTAAACTCAGTCCGTGAATCAGATCTGTACATTGTCCAGAGTTTCCGTTCCACACATATAGCACATAACAGTAGATTGTTCACACAGACATTTTCTCACTTTCTGGAAACACTGTTTTAGTGGAGGTGCATGGGTAGATTGTGCACCATGGTGAGCATTATACCACAGCCAGCTGACATTTGGTCAAAAATAACTTTCCGCCATCCCTTGAATTTCACGACAAATCGCTGCAAATTACATATTTCTGTCACATTAATCCTAATTTATTAGTCTGTTTTACGAGACTTTTTTTGTTTTTTTTCTTTGTCCAGCAGGAAGCAGCTAATCGAGCTAAAGCCGGCTAGCATTTTGGTCGGAAAAACGGTTATTCAAAGTCAAAGTCAACTTTATTGTCAATCTTCCAGTTTGTGTGAACAGACAGAGAGATCGAAAATACTGTTTCCCACAAACCAGAATATAAAAACAAATGTATATAAAATATGAAAATATGTGTTCAAATATTCCCACTGAAGTCTGGAGAAGGACAGAGAGGATGTCTGGGTAAACAAAGGGACAAATGAGGAGAGCTGGGTCCAGATTTATGGAGAAAAGTAGATATAAGCCGTGTCTCGCCCCTCTCATCATGGGAGACACAAGATCACTGGCTAATGAAATGTACGAGCTAATGGCCTTAGCTTAGAGTGAGACGGAATATATGGAATGTATTTGAGTATACTTTATGGAAACATGGCTGCACCAGGATACATCTTATGGCAACGTTTCCATCGATGGCCTCCGGACTGTTTGGGCAATGTCTCATCAACGTTTACAGAGATTTCTACAATGGCTTCCGAACTGTTTAGCCCGACTCACATTGCACAGATATCTTCATCATGTCCCCCGGGTTTATTAAAGCATTTTGATTCTGATTACATTGTTAGGGGTTATAAAGAGGTGAGGTAAGGTGGAGGAAACACCTCCTGATGTCTGCGTCTCTGCATCTTGGCAACTAGTAGTTACCATAGTGACGGAGTTGGCAACAGTGATAATAATAATATCAGCTAATAATTCCAAAGATGAGGATTAACCTGGAAAGCATGGAGATGGCAATGATTATGATTATACCTCCCTAAGGTTCATAATAATATATACTTGATTAATTCCTGCGTTTTAGCTTAGCTCTCCGCCAGTCCCCCCATGGTTAGCAATTATTCAGAACAGTGTTCAAGGGCGCTCGAGTATTGTAGATGCTTAGTCAAGCAACAGGACCGAATAGCTACACAACAGGAATGTGACCCCTATGGTTCGAGGGGGATCTCTCCAACCACTGGGACAATTCAAACACTTATTAATTTAGATTGACTTTATCTTGGAATGATCTCTTTTGCGTCTCTTATTAAATCAATTAAAAATAAACAGGAAGTATAGTAGTGCAAATGGTCAGGTAGTAGCAAATAAGTTATATAAATAAAATATACAAGACCCCATGCACAATTTCCTTCTTTACAGCAAACATGTTTTCACTGCCTTGAAGTGTTTATATATTTTACCATCTAAAATGATATCAAGGACTTGAATATTGCACATTTAAGAGGTAGGAAGCCTTATCAGTGACAGGTGGGTAGCCCCAGCTAATTCAGGTCCAATGGAATTGATTATTTTCCCCTTAAAACTTGGATAAATAACATAGCTTACTCTGCGGCCAATTGTACACCGGGCATCCAAAATGCATGTGTTTTATAACTGCGAAAACGCCTTCAGATCACCATAAGTAAAATAATAAAGTGGCGCTATTGAAGAGTCTGATTAAAAGGAGGAAAGATGTGGATCCAGAACTCACGGAGATCCGCCATAACCATAAAAACATGGGAAGGCATAGGCAGCTATAGGGCAAAGGTCCAAATTGTTACTGGACTTTACCCCCACTAACAAAGTTAAGACCCTTCTGAATGCCAGCAAGCAAGGTCCAACACATATTAGTAAGGCCTATACACAGGAGGAAAAAGAATGATGTTCTATTAACCCTCCTGTTGTCTTCGGGTCAAATCTGACGGATTTATACTTTCATCAATCATAACTTTTTTGTTTTTTATTCGATTGCATCAAAGCTTTATGATATCCTTCACAGTAGACATTTGAACATATACAATTGCTGATCACCACCTTCATTGAAGTTTGGATGATTTAGTCAACTTTGTAACACCCACGCACGCACGCACGCACGCACGCACGCACGCACGCACGCACGCACGCACGCACACACGCA